TTGCCTGCTGACGCTAATGGCGTGACGCGCTTCTCTCTATAGTTTCCATATTCTGCTAGATGCGTTTGCGGTTGTTGTGATGGAAGCGACAGCAGTAGTAACAGTATTATTAGTAGGAGCAGTAAACCCATTGGTTTTGGATTAGGTAGATCCTATTATCCTGGGGACCAATCCTTTCGCAGCTAGAAGAAGCCAACCGTCTCAAACAATTCCTGACGGCGACGGCACTACCGGACGTAAAACTCGAAGCATTTACCTATTTTAGTAGCGCGAATAGCAGCTATCTGTCAGCTGATAATGGAAGCGATCTCGGTAATGGTGGTGCGTGTTTCTCCATAGTGCCCCGCTGCGTATTGCTGGCGATAACGGTAGCTGTGGCGACGGGGAAGCCTCTGCCTGCGTACGCGTCTATGAAAAGCACTGTTTTCGACCGTCGACCTCCAACATGACGTCGATGGTGGAATTCCCTCTTGGAGATGACGCTGTACCTTTGTAAGCAGCGGCAGCATCGGCGGCGGCAATAACAAGCGTAGTGGACTTAGGGATAGTAGCGGCAGTGTTTTGCTCGTTCACCGTTGCCGAGAGACACTGAGCAAAGCGAATAGTTGCCAAAGAGAATACGCTTTCAGCTGCATATAGTCAGCCAGAGGAGTTGGGTTAAATGCGTGGGTGGCCAAGTCGCCGTAAAGGGAAAAGCGTCAACACACGGTTGACCATCTCGGCTGGTTTCGTCTCTCGATGCTGCCAGGAGCCTGCATCGAGTGCCGCTTGATGGCGATCCGTCGATGCTAAAAATTGATAAAGAAGTGCCGCACCATTGCCGTCCATAGTACGAAAAAAAAATTCCAAAAGAACGAAAAAAGAAAGAAAAAGGAAATCGCGTGCCAGCAAGTGGACGCACAGCGCTGGCAGCCGTTGGCGAACTGACTACGATCGTAATGCAGGGCAAGCCTAAAGAAAGCAAACGCATCGTCGATACAAAAAAAAAAAAGATAAACAAAACGCAAATACTGTTTAATAAAGTATCGCCAGCGTCGTCTAATAGCGGCCGATAAAGACACTACGATTACTTCTAACTGCTTTACATCAGGTTCTGTTTCAATGAAAGGCCGGTTAAGCGAAACTGTCCTATAAGCGTCACTTGCGACGCGGCTAGTTGGCTAACTAAAAAATATAGTAATTTACGGGAAAAAAAAACATTGATTGAACCTTGGAAACGGTAGAAGGAATGCAGCCCCCACAAAATGTCTCCTCTAACCATTGTACGAATAACACGTATTCCACTAGCATTTGTTTAGCGCTTCAGTGGCCCATGTAGAGGATGTGTTGCAATCCATTTGGGGTTACATTACTACGCCACACCGTTTTTGCCGTCCACCAAGCCTCTGAATAAACCGACGGAGTCTCTTCTTTCTATAACTAAATAAAGTAAACGCCAAAATTAACTGTCGCACAGTGACGCAGCCTGAGTTTTCCAAAAAATGCCCAACGGGCTGGCTGGGTATGCGAACGTATATAACTGGCACAGAAACAAGCTAGTCTAAAGCAGTAGTTTTTTTCCAGCAGCTTTCCGCTTTCATTCTTTGTTTTTCCTAGTTTATCTTAGCTGACTTTACACGACTTCGGACGCTTTTGCTCTAGTTTGTTTCTTCCTCTACGACTTGGCCCGAAGCTGATTCATCATTAAACTAGCCGAGGAGTCGATGCACTAGCATAAAACGCTAGGTTAACTTGATATTACTACGTCCCGTAACACGCCCTGTTGACCCGCACAAATGAAATGATAGTACAGCGTGCTTTTAACGTATGGCACGCACCGAGGTAGACCCTCTATGCGTTGATTCACTCCAATGCCGCTGCGATTTTGAAGTGGAGCAGGGATCAACAGCTTGATGTTGGACTGAGGGCCCTTTTTAAGATTCAGGGTAACATGGTCAGTCAGTGTTTATCACACCAAGATCTTATGTACTTGATAGATAGCCAGTGGTCGAGGAGCGCAAACATCGAACTGTATATTTCGATAGGATTACCGATTGTATCCTGTATTACAAAAACATTTTACCAGTGGAAACAACGAGACCTGGGTGAACGTTAACGGCTATCTAGACTACTGTTATGACTATGCAGATTATGAAATGCCCAATTACAATCAATGCCCAATTACAATCAAAATGCCCAATTATCAAGAGGTAAACAGAGCTCTTTCAGATATTCAGGAACTTAGTTTACAATATTGATACATTTGATGTAGAAAATTATGTATCATTTGATAACTTGATTAGAGTAACGTTTCCAATATGTACGATAAAAATCAGATTCAATAACATTTCAATAAACAGTGATACCGTAGTTCGTAACCTATGCTCGTTCTTTAACAATAACAGTTGAGCTTTACGTTTGTCGATTGTTTTGAGTAGGTCAGCCTGAAGGAATCAGGTAGACATTGAAGCAGTCGCTTAAATGAAATAGAAAGCAAACAGACAAGCCGTCAAAAGATCGAAATAAAAGGTCACGTCATCCAAATATAACCCGCTATCTTTCGGGGTACAGATATTGGTTTTCTGGAAATTTCGAAAGGGATTTATAACGTACGATTAATGGCTATACGCTGACTGGCCACACGGCCGAATACCAATCCACCACCGTCAAGTTCGCAACTAATCGGTCGCTGTGAGCGTGTGCCGTTAAAGCTTCTTATTTTATCTGTATATAAAAGTATAACCGAACTGGTCAGCCGCCACCTCTACAAGGATGATCGTGATCTCCCTGTCGACGGTACTCTTGATCAGTCATTGTGTTCTCAGCGTGCGCAACTAATCAGGATTATCCGTATTCACTCGATCTTACGATGAATTGAATTACCTAAATAGCCCTATGCCAGATGTGAAGAGGCGACAATGGGTACTGGGCAAAAACAATTGTACGTAGACTGCCAAAGCTAATGGGAGTCTCTGTTGCTTATCTCGGCCGTGTCATGGGACTTAGCTAGCCGGTAATGCGGCTACGTCTTGCTTGCAAATAAACAACAGGCTGTAAATCTTCGAGATCATATTTGGTCATCCAGCTTTGGAACTCGGGAGAGCCCGTTTCCATAGAGCGAAACATCGATTCCATCACGTCGTTTCGTATCAGTGGACAGATAGTGTTACTGCCAATAGTGAATGGTCCAAAGGTTAAGAAAAAAGGTTCGTCACCGCCGTTGTGTGCAGCTGAGTTGTGTTTTGCAGCAAAAAAAAAAGGACAGAACGATCGTCATAGATAGGATCTCGTACGTTTCAGAATCGAGCCCACCACAAGTTACGTAACGGAGAGTTGCGGGCATATGATTCGCCAGCCTAAAATGAGCCGGGAAAAGTTCTCTAAATGGGGAAATCACAATCTGGACAAAGGGGAATCCATTAAATGAAAAATGAAGCTATCTATAATTGGATTTCTTCGTCAGCTGTATTAAAAAACAAGCTAAGAAATAACTATTTACCTATTTTTCGGTTCTTTTTTCAATTGCTTCAAATGAGCAAACTTGATTTTCCCCGACAATAGTACTATACGAGCAGAGCATTTCGTCGGCGGGCGTCCAGCGACCAACGCCCTTTCGAACAAAAGCTAACTTTTTCAACTTTGGAGTGTTATTAAAATAAATTTACCGCATAAAAGAACATCGACTCTGCTCGCTGCACAAGCCGACGAGTCTGCTATTCAAACTGAAACAGATATGGTTTCTTTTCTTAGATGTCTACTATTCCTATGCCCACATTGCTACCCGCTCCTCAGAGTGCGCTTGCAACGGTAAAAACGGTGATCCAGCTGTAATGGCACCGTGTATTTACTGTCAAGGGGTAAGCCAAGGGCAACATTGACGTGGGGCATAAAGCAGCAGGGTATTGTCATTCGCCTCTGTGCATCCGCTACAATTACAGGAAGGCGCCAAAAATTAGGGGCCTCAGTGTGTGAACGGCGGTAGCCAGCCAAAAACTTGTTGATTTATTTCGACCGACGGAAAGACAAACGGATTACGAGATAGCGTTGAACGGAGAACAAGCTACACAAGTGTATCTATATCATGTGTTAAAGACATGACGGAAATAGGTAACAAAGCGATTATTCGCCCGAACTTATTTTGGGTATCTGACACAGCCAGTAAGCTCTATTTATTCAACGGATCAACTAAGTACGTTTGTTACATGTCAGTTGTTTTTTTCTCAGAGGTAACTCCGCTCGAAGCGATTCTCTGTAAGAGGCTTACGAATTTAAATTTCGAAATGAGGAAAAATGAGCGATTCCCAAAACTAGCTCGTCGCCACTTAGCGGCGACTGCTCGAATATGCAAAACAAGCGACAGTGATTAGAAACTTTTCGAACAAAAGTTACCACAGTCGCTGATGAACGTGATCTAGCGTACATGACCTTCCGATCAGTCTAGTGATAACCATGTGAGCGCTTTTGTTTCTTAAACGGCTGGTATATGGTCAGCTTTCGTTTGAAACATCCAGAAAAAATCTTGTGTCAACATGTTAAAGTGACAGAAACCGTGGCTTGCTCCTTGACATGACGTCAGTGTCCCGACGTACTCGTTGGTTGCATTTATTTGCGTCTATATGTGGAAGGTCTGGTAACTGCAAAATGCATCATCAAGTTGGCACTTCACTTGTCCTTCCAGGCTCGCCAAACTTATAATACCATCCACCTTGGCCATGAGTATCTACATACGAGCGTCTATATGCGTCGTGCTTGGCCAGTACAGATATGCCTCAAATGTTCGTATTCAAACTAGTTTTGCCCTGTGGATCGCTAAACGATAATAAAGCGTTTCGATGAACGCTTAGGCTCTAATCTCTAACTTACTTAAATAGGTCCTAGCTATCGCCTCGTCCAGGCCATCTTTTAATATTATATATTGATATTTAGGGAATGGCATCATAAGCATTTAAAAACCAATGAAACAAAACCAAGATGGCAAATCTCTAAAAATAAAAAAAAAAACAGGAATATACAGGACTCACCCGAACGCGTTCCTGCAGTTGCATTTCGTGCTGCTGCGCCAGCTGCCTCTGCTGGTGTCTATAACTCTGCAAAAGGAGTTGCTGTTGTAATTGTTGTTCCTGTTTCATGGCGACAAGTTGTTGCTGGAGTTCCAGGAGTGGCACGACGATTTTGTTTGCACCTGCAACAACGCCGGTACCGCCGGGGCCCGTAACGCCCGCGACAGATGGACGTAGAGGCTCGCTTCCCGAGGGAGACACGGTTAACACAGCTTCACTCTCCTGCTTGAAAACACACGCACGAGATGCAGACCGCGCACAAGTCCGACTTGCGGTATTATTATGAATGTTCGATTCTAACAACGTATAAATACTTCAGCTTTTTTAAGACTGCTTTGCACTTAAGCATCCTGTCGAACGACTGGAACGTGCCAGCGCCATACGAAGCAAGCTTACGCCCGTTTTCTATCATTGGATCGCTAGGTGCCCCTAGGCAGACAAACACGTCACTGGATTCTAGGAGAACTAGCAGAATGTATGTACGTCGTGCACGAGCAGCGAAACAGAATAGTCTCAGACTGCGTTACGTCCATGCATACAAATATCAGTCTACGCATGGCTACTTCGCGTCAAAACAGAACGTACCACTCGTCCGCTTCTGCCGGACAGTGACTCTGAGCTCATTTGCAACTGGTGAAGGGTTGGCTATATTCCTTGGTAGATTGTCAAGCAGAACGCACCATTTATATAGTGGAAAATGAACGTCGACTTCAGTCAAAGTTCTATGCGCGTGTATTTTCTAGTAGCTTGTTAAATGTACGTTCGATTTGAATAAATGTAAAATCGAAATGGCTCGCCGCTTCAGTTGCCTGGGGGGCACGAATCAACTGATCGGATTGTTGTACCAAAGGGCAAAGTGCATAGTCAGCAGGCGCCTTCGTCTCTTCAAATGCTTAGTTACCTATAGCTAAACGAAAGAGAAAACGCGTGTGCACCTCGGGGGATTATCCGTGCCTCCTTGTTTGGGAAAGCTTTCACCTTTGCGAGCTGTGGGCATGAGTTAATCAAGTCTTAGTATGTTCACACAATGGGAAAGCAACTCATCATGTAAAATGTTTTACTTTTGTCTTATTACATTGATCGAGAACATGGCGAGGCCAGCTCAGTTTAATCGGAAATCGTCGAACGCTATGGTTTATTATTTCGGTGGGCTGAATTCAAAGCCATACATCGGCAATGAGCAACAATGCGTCGGCGATCACTTAGCCCCGCGTAATTACATTACTTGAAATAAGTTCAGCAGATGGCAAAGAAAGCTATTATACATATATATATATATATATATATATATATATATATATATATATATATATACGCAGCGCTAAGAGCTTACATTAGTTCTAATTTAAATAGCTAATCAGTCTTTGCGACTAAGCTATCTACGCATATCTTATAGAAGCAAGAGAAACGTGTTGAATGCCCCTTATTGCCGGATCGGTTATTATCGAGACGGCCATACAAATGTGCCGCTTTGTAAATTCTGACTAAATTAGCTGCTCCGATGGTCTCAGGTACGGCACAACCAACCCTAGTCTTGAATAGATATTCTAGTTATGCAGGTGAAGATTGTGCGCATCCATCGTTTTCCGGCATAAATCGCATAATAAAAAAGAAAATAGTTCGCACAGCTCATGGCGAAGCCAAGGCTACAACGCAATGTGTCACACCGCGGTGGCCGAAGTTTCAAAGTTTGCTCGACTTCAATCAGGCCAGAAGAAATCTCAGGAATAGGCCTTTTCGCCTTACAGTCAACAGTGTAAGAGTGTAACAGCATGCTATAAGTATGCATTTCAAGGCAGCTGCTGAAGTCAAATACTCTGAAAAGATAGGGCCATCTCTAACCAAACTGAGAAGTTATCATGGATGGTAAACAACGCAAGTGAACGTTTGCATATAACTGCATATCGTCTATGTGGCTGTACAATACTCTAGATTTATCAAGTAAAAGGACGCGAATGTAACGACCGCAGCGTTGGAAATGGGTTGGAATACAACCCCGTGGGGTGTAGAGGGGATAGAATGGGGGTAATATTGTATCCTATAATAAACAACCAATCAACTATAGCGATCAATACGTTTGAAATTGGAATGGTAAGCCACATTAGAAGAAACTAATCTACACGGCGCGTATTATAAAAATTATTAAACAATTTTATTAGCAAAGCCGTCTAATAAATAATTATCAAGGTATTAGGAGTCAGCTGAAATGTTCATTACTATGCAGGTAGAGATGTGACTTGGATGTCCTGTAGAGACGTACTTGAATATGTAATCGTCGATAGACGCAAAAAAATGAAGCCGCACAGCAGACCGTGGCGTCGAAGAGCGTTTGTATATATTAAGAGCCAAGCAACTCGTGAATGAGTAAGTTATGTCCTCATACAAGGTCGAACGGCAGAAAAGTATCCGTTTTCAAGTTCCCTGCTGAGTGTTGTAAGCTGGCTCACGGAATTTGAGACGGTTCCCTTAAAGAAGTAGCAATCGGGTTCATCCGTTCAAATAGCGCGCAATTTCTGTGCCGCGAAACCCTTGCATACGTATTTGTTTTCCTCAGCCATTGATTTTATACGATTTGGTTCTGCTATGTCTCAAAAGTTCCTGAAGCTCTTACAAAACAGGGTTATTCTTCACGTTCGTTTATACGTCGCCCAATTATTGGCGAGACTCTCGGCGAGGTTTTGCCTTATTCTTTGTAATACCATTATGATATAATATCGTCACTTTTGCTCTCTACCGCTTGCTCCCTCGCTCTCTTCTTATATATGTATATCTCTATATATACGTAGTTTGTGGTCGTACCTCAATAAGCGGCATAATTGACTGCGTCACGGGCGGAGAGTTCGAGTTGGAGAAGGGTGAATAGTCCATTGGTAATGGTCGGGGCCCTGACATGGACCCAGTCGCTGGTCCGGCGCTAAGTGGTGCTGCTTCACCGTCTACAGTTCCGCCGCCATCATTTATGTCGCCTACTGCTCCACTCATATGGCAACTTTCCGTCGTCGTCGTGGCGTTAACAGTGGCACTTTCAGTTGTGACCAGGGGTACGGGAGTAAGAGCGCTCCCGATCCCGGTCACGTTAACTCCGGCAACTCCCCACGACGGTCGCTTGAGAATTTCCACAGGTCCCGCAACACTCGGCACTCCGACGGTGCCGTTTGACTTACCTGAAGAGAAAGAATGTCATAAAAGTGAACGAGCAGCTTGCGATAGGGAAAACGAGTCAGAAAATGAAATTTTTATTAATCGTGAACTTCAATATAATAAATAGACCAGTATAATCGATATAATTGTGTCAACAGCATTTCTCACGGCATGAATGTGAACATTCGAAAACATTGGAGAGTTTCCGTTGGCGCCTGTTTAAGGATACATTTCTAATGTTGAGGCTTCATAGGTTAACACTAGTTTTTGCTATCATTAAGTATATACCAAATGTATACATCTACCAAACAGTAGTTAAATTTCATAGAGCAATATGTAGCCCTAACAAACGAACAGAAAGCAAAATAAAGGGCATGTCCTCTCACAGCGCCAGGCTTCATCGATGCGGTACCATCTTAATCGGTCACTCTCCAAGGCTGTCAGTAGTCTTCAAACCTCTTATGACATCACTTCGCTGTGAGCTTGTTTGACCGCCTGAACCGTTCAGTAGCCTTCTTCTCAGCGTTAGTCTAGAAATAAATTGCGTCTGGCCTACATATTTGTAACAGGCCTGCCACTACGCTGAAGGTCAGGCTAAAAGACTGCTTTTGTCCTTATCGGTGACCGGCGACAGCGTCCTGTAGACGAACTACCTCGCCTGAGGAGAACGATGGAAATGGTTTGTCTGCCTTTTAGGGAAAGTAGACAAAACGTCTTCGAACTCCCGACCACCAAAGTGCTATGCAGATATTTTATCTAGGTTCAACATATCGTCGTTCATAGTTATAGCCCTACTTTTATGTACTGTATCCTCTCGTTTTGCAGGGCTCTTGAAATGTCTATTTTTTCCATTGCAAAAAAGCTTAATAGACACACAGTGAGCAGCAATTAAAGACGCTAACGAGACGCCCTGTCCAACGGGCGGATCAACGTGTATGCGTACGTTAAACGTTTTTTGAGCCGAACTATTGTTTGTGCCTTTAAACTACGCTCCAAAAGAACATCACGTTATAGAATCACTGGGTCAGCACCGTTCGTGCAGAGTCCTATAGGCTCACCCGCCTCTATACGCCATCGCTTTATCTCGTTCAGGCGTCGTCATTTGTGCCACTTTTTGCCTCCTATTTCTATAGCCGATGCAAGCGCCCAAAAACATTTCCCTTAATTAGTATGCTTACGAAGTAAAGCTATTAGACTAGACAAAGAACGTCCATATTATACCCGTAAAATATAGTACCCGTTGTACTATAAACTAGCCTGTCTTAAAACGGAATTTCTTCTCATGTCGACGGTGAAGCATTACGCAAGCTAAAAAATAACGACGTCGGGGGCAAAATTCAAATCGTTATCTACGATATCGTATAGCGTCGTGATCATGAAACCTAGCGCTAACTCCCAACTGAGAAATTGTCGCACCGATGATGGACGCGATCGATATTCGGTAAAAAGAACAAAATTTATAAAAATCTTTGGTTAAAGCATTAGGGAGATTTGCAAGTGTTCGGCAAAAGGCGAAACCGAAGCTCTATCTATTGCCAGCCGCAATCAGGCAATTGGCCAATAGCAAACGAGCCAATAACGATGCTGTGAAACGTGTACATCTACGTTTCGAAAAGAGCGGCTTTATTTTTAAAATATTATAGATTAGCAGCAGGTTGTATTGGTACGTTGCTGGCGCATCACACTGTCAAACGCTCTCTATTACCAGAGAAAAGTACCACAGAATCTGTGTACCAACGAAAGTATGGCGTAGGTGATCTGCGCTCGCTATTGTCGCGTCGTATCTTATTTTCATCATATTCTATTCTGACGTAACTAGCCAATCGTAACGCATCTGCTTATTCATTTGATAATATAAATAGCTTTATAGAACGAGGGTGATTAGTGAATAGCATGGTAGGTACGTGGTCCCTTAGAGCGGAAAGGACACTCACCTCAAAGAACCTTTCTGCCGATCTTTATCGAACCATTCGGGCTCTGAATACAAATAATGTCCACGCTCATTCACCGATGCTGATATGGGCAGATACACACACATACACATATATATGCGTGTCTATCTTTCTCCATATATATATATATATATATATATATATATAGAGAGAGAGAGAGAGAGGGGGAGAGAGACGTGTGTTTTTATAGCCGCATTGCACACAATTTGTGTGTGCATATATCTTTTATCTGTGTGTGTGTATGCAGGCATAATGCGAGGTGTTGGAAATCCGCCGCTGAAACTATCGCATGATATCAGTACGGTTCCGTATGGAATCGCGTCCGTCTCTCAGTCAATAACTGTGTTCTCTCGTTGGTGCTTGTCATCGGTTAGTGAAGTGTTGCGTCGGAGCCATCGGGCCGTACATCCGACCACTCCGACAGCCAAAGGGAGCTCTGCAATAAAACAGAAGTTGGGCAATTCCAAAAGATTTGTGTTGTTGTAATTGCGGCCGACTGACTGGTACCGAGCACAGTTGGCGCTATCCAGTCTCCTTGTTTGCGAGCTGTGTTCGAGCCTTGACGGTCATTTGCTTAAAATACAAAACCATATCTAGGAAAAAAGCCCATATTTAAAACCTATACAAAAATCTACTTTTCTCTGTGAACGCGCGTTGAGCTGATGCAGCAGCCGAGCTAACGGCTAAAAGTGGGCCGAATGGCCCTGAACTTTTCCCATGACGTCTGATGTTGCTTGTTGTTTCTCCATCGATCGGTCTGTGACCGAGACATACAAACAATGAAGTATTTGCTATCCTACTTCGTACACGCAGGATCGTCACTTAAATTTCATTTAAATTGGAATATTATTTGCTGCACTCACCATTACTAGTTGAGTTGATTATTATTAGTCATTATTAGGTGACAACAGTCCATAAGGCAAAAAAAATACGGCAGGAGCTATCAAAGCCGGAGCTATATCGTTTATACGTTATAGAAAGGTAATATTAAGGATGTGAAAAAGAAAGCGCGTTCGGCCCAGAACTCAGGGATGGGTCCTAAACTCTTGCAATTTCAATCAATTAGTTATGAGGGGCAATGAACTTTTTCCGTGACGTCCATGAGAATTCTCTAGTACATCATACAGTAGTGATCAGCCAGGACAACGTTTCCTATACTCAGTGTATCAGTCGTGACGTCTGGCTAGGTCGTATAGATTAAAGAGCCTATTATCTGAAGGAACAAAAAACTGAAAGATCAATTTAAAAGACAGTTTCTTCGCGACTTCGCTATTGCCAGCTAGAAGACTTAGGTTCGAGTTCAACGCACGTACTTTATAGAGTAAAAGCGGAGCTATTTGATGAGGTGGAAGTAATACTTCGCAGGACGTTTTCTAATCGTGCTTCCTTTGAAATAGCATGCCGAATCCCTAGCGTTATTTTTACTTAAAATGTATTTAGACGTACGCGAATTAACACTGATAGCTGTGACTGTGTACGTTACAAACGTGTGCTCATGCTGCGTCGATTCTGGGGAAATAAACAGTACATAAGGAGATGATGAACTTCGTATCCATGGCGAGCAACAAAGTGGAATCGTTCGCGTATAATCATAGCTCATAGGAACTGCGAAGATCTTACATTGTTCTTCAAATAATAATAAGCTACAAGCCTTAAACAAGTACTGCATTCACTGAGACGTAAGTAAGCATTATATACTATCATTAAAGTCATTGTTACGTTTCGCGCCCGGCTTGTTCTATGAATAAAGAACTTAATAGAGCGTCGCTAGTTCCACCTTCATTGTTTGATCGGTAAGATCTCTACTATCATGTATACATAACTTTCAAACGAAAACTAGAACCAGACAAACATCGCTTTTCTCTGTCCGGGATCTGATTGAGGAATAAATATCACTTCGCTTGCTGATTTCGCGATCCTGCGTGTATAATATGGTAGCACCATCGATGTTATGCTGCCTTCAGCCTAACTAAAAGCCATTTAATTAGCCTGTTCGTTGTCCTATAAACAGTATGTATCTAAAGGTCATTGCAGGAAACCTAATGTACTAGACAGCTGTGTATACAAAATTCAAACAAATCACGCACAGAAATGAGATCGTTCTGACATTTTCTAGATTCTCGAATGAAAACTCCACAAAACGAAAAATGCTCAGCAAATGTATGCGCATGCATGCACATACATCATACTAGTATGCTACGTTCATACAACTAGATGCATGCAAAAAATCTATGATAAACGGGTTCAATCATCAGCAATTATCTATCTCAGCTTGAAATTTCGCTATGGATTTTGTAAACATAAGTTTCTATACTTTCGCAAAAGACTTCTACCTTTCGATTATTTAGTTTACTGTACGTTGAGCGTTTATGGGATTTCGTCTGTTAAATTCTGCAGTTTAAACCTTAGTGCTGATCAGTTGCCTCGTGCCTTTTATTTATGTATAGATAGACCTGTTTCATGAGCTGTGCTTCTATTTCTGCCTAGGTGGCCCTAGCGGTTTTGGGGCGATTATTTTAGGATCTATTGAAATCTCCCAAGGTGACAGCGTACTACGACTTCACACACGCACACCGATCAGCAGGCACGGGCAGGCAATGCAGAAATGAGAACTTGGCATATTTCAATTTGCCGCACGCTTCAATACGAAGTTCTTATTTTCGTACAAATTAGAGTAATGAGAATGAGGCATAACTATTGGAATAGTTTCTGCTCCGTTTGTATGTGAAAGACCCGCCAGTCATGCCCGTAACCCAATGACAATAAGTAGCCTCTGTTAACGATCATCACAGCTGCGCTATTATTGCTTCCAGTGACTTTGACTCTGCCGATGCCAAAAATACTCTGTAGATCTCAGCAGGCAGCAGTGTCCAATTGGCAGCCACCCAACCAGCTAACCCAGTTTACTCTGCTACCTAAACACATCGGCAGGTCCTACATCACACACACCTAGCCGCCTCATGCAGAACTAAGGGTACACCATACAGCGTATCCGTGTGTGTGTGTGTTTGTCGGCCTATTTGTGGGTGAATGCGATACGTGTTTTCCGAGATAGCTTAACAAGTTTAGCT